TATGTATCTTGCTAGTGTTATTTTCAATTGTAAAACAAACCGCAAGAATGCAAATACGGTTCCCATATTCCACAGTCATTTCCTATAGCTACTTTTAAAGCCCTAAAAAAGGCCATTGGTTTGAAGAGAGCCTCGTGTGCCTTTCCACGTTCCCACCTTCCTGGTGTGATGAATCTCCCGTCTGTTGGGTTTTTGAAAATCACTCGCTTCGCTTTTATTATTCTTCTTCTTCTTTCTCCACCGCCATGCCACTTTTTCCCCGTTTTACTTCGAAATTAAAGAAATATCAAGATTTGCTTTCTACGTTAACACATTTATTTATACCAAATGGCAGGCGTTTTGATATTTATCATTAGCCCTTTAGTTGACTTCGGGCTTCACAGAGGGAGGAGGAACATCAAAATGACAAAAAGTCGAGAGTGGGAGGATGGAACAGATGAGTGTTTCAAAGATGTAAGAGAGAGACACAAAAGTAGGAAAAATGTGAGGTGAGTACTGTGGAAGTGGTCGAATTTGACATACAGTGGGGTGATGGTAGTTTGAAGTGAGAAGTCAACTGCCGGTTAATAGACTTTTTTGCCGTATGAGTATACGTTGCCCAGGGTTCACCACGTAGAGGTAAGTCTATCGCACACCCCCACGTTAACACCTTCATGCCTCACTCCTGTTTGCGGCCTTCTACTGACCTTACTTAAAATAGTCCTATAGATGGTAGAAATTAAATCTACCGTAAAACCTTAGAAACAAAATAATATATGATTAGTTGACTATTATCTACCCTAATCCAACAGCGAACAGCAATGAAAGTAATACTGGTCCTAAATTTCAATTTCAGAAATGATTGGAAAATGAAGGGGGTAGGAAATTTCCCCCCTTCAATAGTACATGCGTTGAGCATAAAATTTGATGATTTCGTAACTGAAAAGCCAGGACTCCCCAAATATATATCGCTGTCTTTCAGATCTCCAAAATATCCGTAAGAAGGATTTCAAGTCGATAAAGAGACAAATGCATGGAATGGCTTTTTCCGCTATTGTTAAAGGACTGAGTGCGATGGGACATTTCAATTGGCACAAATTTAGAGAGCGGCTGGTACCACTACTTTCTTCACCACAGTGCCAACAAAGAGCATCGGCTTTTCTGTTAGTAAATGATTCAAACAAAAAATATGGGAGCAGTAGAATATATTCGTCTTCTTGAATTGAGGGAATCTTTAAAACGGACTAATCTTTCATTCCAAGGCTGTCTCATAACATGATATCGTGTGTGGCTTAGATGGTCCGGAAAGAAATCTCATTGGAGCCTGGCTAAAAGTCTATTGTAATAATTAGATTTACAAATCTTCTTCATTTTCCAATTCCAGCTAATATTGCCCAATCATGGGCAAATATGGGTCAATCATGAGATCATTTTAAAAACCTTTTATTTGCACATTTCCAACAAAGCCCGGGGGTTATTTACACTTTCCTTCTTCAAATCACTAATATTCCAGAAATACGGTTGGGCCACTTGGCCGACTTGGCTGAGAAATGACAAGAAATTTTATCACAAAGTTCTATGCTTTCCTGCGAGAAGAATTTAGGTAAGAAACTCATTTCAAAGCGCACATTTGCGTTGAAATTACTATCATTTAATGGAGCTTGTCATTCATTCAGTTGAAGTTCAATAACTGAGAAATCGACCCTTGCTGTCGCAATCTGAAGTATTGCTAATGGTAAAGTTAATTGAAAAATCTCATAGTGTTTTCCAACATTCTTAAATAAATTGTAGAATGTTTAAAAATTTCCCTTGATGAACTATAAATTTAACATGGCATTATATGAAAACATAATCTTTCTTTAAGGTAAATAGTTATCAGCATTAATTGAAACAACTAAGTTTATAAGAGGTTTTATGTATGTTTGCCCCCTATCAAGTTGTGCGTGCAGGCGCGTGAAGGTCAGTGATGGTGCGCGCCATCCAATCAACTGTGGTCTATTTCGCGCTCCCCTTAAACCTCCCCCCCCCCCAACCGCAAAATTCTTTGCCCAACCCTTGCTTTAACCACCACCATTGCGCCCACTTATTTAGGCCTGATTCTTCTCCCGAACACTATATCGCCTCTTCTCAATCTTTCTTTGCGCTTATATCCTTTGACTCGGCAAATCATGTCGGAAAGTTATACAAGTGCAGCTAGTGTCATAGCGACCGCTACCGTTGCTTCCAGTGAAATTGGTTCGCTGTCAGTTGCAAATGGTTTGGGTAATTTTCTTCCAGTTATATGAATTTTACCCTTTTAACTTTCTTATTGCAAATTAATGTCTGTTGCACACGGAACGAATCCTTAAAAAACAAGCTGATGTCCAGCATAAAATTACTTCTATTTAATTGGGTGAAATAGCAATTGCCGCCATTTGATAAGGCCTAATTTTCACAAAACTTTATTATTTTACAATTTGTCAAAATGTTAAATGATCTTTTCTTCATAATTTGGAGGTAAGAATAATATATAGTCCATAACTTTTCCAAGTATTTTAAATGCTTTATAAATAGATTGTTCACATACAATACTCTGATCATTCAATTGATAACATGAACCTCTTAAGATTATAGAAATCCTTGTATTAGCATTATTGTATCCTCAACCACTCTATAATTTGATTAAAAAATCGATTTCCAAAATTCGTGGGAACATATTATTTATTATTTCATTTATTAGGTCAAATTCTTATAAGTAACATTAGTGTAAGAAAGTGACCTGATCGAAATGGATCATCTCACAAATTTCGCCTCAAATCTGTCATTTTTCTGACTTCTTCTTTAAATGGTTTTGCTTTGGAGTTATGTGATTAGCTAATTAAAAACTCACCGCTGTTATGAAAAAGTAGGTTAATGCTGCAATCATTAACCTACCTGGGTGTTCATGTGTTTTGTCCTAGTTAAATTTGGGGCATTATTTTGCAATTGTACTTGAGAGGAATGCGGGCATTCATTTGTGGTTAAGCAAAACAGGGATAAGATTTAACTACGGGTTGATTTGAAAAAAATATATATCGTCCGTTTTATTTGGTTAAGAAAATACCTCCCACAACTGGGAGAGGTAAAAACACTGAGTGATTTTTGTAGATTTGGGTCAGTAGTTGACATCTCTCAACACAAACGAATGCGGACATCATTTTAGCGTCATCGATATTTTGACGTTTAAACATAATTGTTTTTTCTACAAAGTGGAAGTTTTCAATAGCACTATGCAGTAATTTTTCAATCTCAGTAGCCGTGATACAATTGAAAATCCAAAAAAATAATTAAACCGTTTATATTGAAGCTTTTAGAATTGAATAGTCTAGAAGACGAATATTTGCTTCATAATTACCCATTTTTTAATCAGCACTACTAGAAAGAATTTCCTGACATTACCTAAATAACATTCAGCAGACAAGAGACAAGCATCGATTGTTTCGAAAGCTATCCTTTTTATTACACATTGTTCGTTTGCTTAAATCCTTAGAAACCTTCGACTTTCAGAAATCCAGAAATCACATCTCGAATAGCAGGCTACCGCACTCACTGGTATTAGGAGTAAGTTATGGCGAATTTCCACCAACACTTAACCTTAAGAATCAACCAAAGCCCAGTTATTCCAATATCACAGTTTCCAGTCAGGCAGATAGCTCAATTAATATGAATGTTTGCTCAAATAGCAACGAGGATAAGCAAAAAAAGCGCCGAAATCGAACGACATTTACTAGCTTCCAACTCAACGAAATGGAGCGCATATTCCAGGTAAGGTGATATGGAAGCTTAAAATAACCCCCCCCCCCATATTTTTAGAAAACTCACTATCCAGATGTTTACGCTAGGGAGCAACTAGCTCTAAGAACAGGACTTACTGAAGCCCGAGTTCAAGTGTGGTTCCAGAATCGGCGAGCGAAATGGCGTAAACGAGAAAGACTTTGCAATGGTAATAGTACCAGTGGTGTGGGAACTATTTCTCCAATGCCTTCAGTATTCTGCTATGGAGAGTTCCCCGATAACTCACATGTCTTCCCTGAAGGATTTCGAAAAGGTTTCGAACATCCTGAGGTGCCGTTCCCTTCTGATTTAATAGGAAGAAGGCCAGAGTATTCTCAATTTTTTTGTAATTCTATGCGTTCAACTGGACAGTATCAGAAAGCTCTTCTGCCCAGATATGTTAAACCACCGAATACACAAGTACCCTTCAATGAGGCTACGAGAATATTCAATTCACTTATGCCCAAACTGTATAATCCTACCGTTGAAGTTCCCCATTCACAAATTTCTCACCACCAATCACCATCGTCTCTTCCACCTTCATCACATATTCCAGTGTCCGTATCTCTTTCACAGCAGCAAAATCTACACCATCCACACATTCACAATGCATCCCAATCCTCTTTCAATCTTCCTGTGAATCTTAAGGCTCCTGAGGGTATATCGAAGTTCATGAAGGAATGGCCAGAGTCAGACGATGCGAGATGGGCGCTTCACGATGGTCAATGGATGAAGCAGAAGTGTCAACAGCCTGGAATTTCGACTACAAATCAATCTCCAATTTACAGTCATCCCAGCTTTGATGCTTATTCAAAACATTATGGCGAATATGGTTGCTCTGAGCTGTCACTATCATCGCTGAATAAATAATTCTACCTACTTGGGAGTCAAGTCACCGGAATACCTCCGTTTTGTACATATAAAACAATTTTAATATGCTCATTTATTGTATGAAATAAATAAAACTCATTTTGGCAAAATTAATTTTGAATTTTTGATTTAAAGTGTTCGTACGGTTGAATGGAAATAATTTTTTTTCCTTTTGTAAATTACTTCGATCGATTAAAACACAGTTCAAAATTGTATGTGTTTAATGATTTGATGGACAGGGGCAGATGGCGTTGAATATCACTGTTTGCCACAAATGCTTCAACACTCATAGAAAGGCATTTTTCGTTTGAATGGCATATTAACCAGCCATCGTGCACTCACCTTCGAGTTACATGCATTTTTAATTGCAGAATAACTTTAACTATTCATAAGTGGAAACATCTTGAAGAGGTTGGATATTTTATTTGGCGAAGAAACCATCTTTTCATTGGTACTCCATAATACCGTTTAATTTCCTTGTAGAATTTCTACCACCTGTAAGGAATTAAAGCATGTGGAAACATATCAAATTTCTGAAACCAATAAAATAGGAGGAACGTGTCTAATGAGCCATTTCGATTTATTTTTTAATGTGTGTGTGGACGATAGGGGGGAAAATTTCCATAAAAGTAGCCGCCTCAAAGGTAGTGGTAGAATCTGATGTAGAATGTTAGTTAACAGTTGGGGACAATTTTCCTGTTTTCTTTTCGATGTCGCTTAACTTCATCTTTACAACAATAATCACATTATTTATTTATTTATTTCGAATGGCAGGCATTTGATAGCTATCATTAGTCCTTAGCTGACTTCGTACTTCACAGAGGGGAGAAACATCAAAGTTCAAGAGGGTGGACCGAAGAGTGATTTGCAGGTGTAAAAGAGACAGACACAATGATAGAGAGTAGGGTAAGGTGAATACAGTAGAAGTGGTCGACTATGACATGCAGTGGGGTAATGGTAGTTTTTTGCCGTATGAGTATACGTTGCCCAGGGTGCACCAAGACACACCCCATAATCAAATTATAGACTTCAGCTCGTGATCATTTCAATTTCTATTGCATGGACTTAAATGTACTTAAATCGTTGAGGGTTCTTACTTGTCGATAATAGGGTATACCACAAAGAATTAATTTGGAAACTTAAGGTACTACTAAACGACCCAGAAAGCTGTAGCAAAAGCTTCAATGACAGAGCATCTAGGGAAAAAATGCAAAATGGGAAGATGTTTTTTGAACCTCTTGAAATATTAGCATTTTTGAAAGAATTATAACCAACCCATAAAATACTCAATTACTTGGGTGCTCACATTCGGTCCCCCCTTTTAGCCAAGACTTGCATATTCAGTGTTGGTGGATGGATGAAGTGATATTGCCCTGTCGTGAACACACTTCAATTAATGGAGGTGACCTAAAATGCAATGATCCTTTTACCGTATAATCGTCTCTCGTCTGAGTTGTAATCTAATTTAGGATTTAAGTCGCACAATCATTTGCTACCCTTACCCGCGGTAATATAATAAAAATTTATTTATTTATTGCAAATGGCAGGCGTTATGATAGGTATCATTAGCCCTTTAGTTGACTTCGGGCTTCACAGAAAGGAAGATGAACATCAAGGTGGCAAAAAGTCGAGAGGGGGACAGAACAATGTTTCACAGATGTAAAAGAGATAGACAGACAGACACAAAGGTAGAGAAAAGGTAAGGTAAGATGAGTACTGTGGAATTATTCGAATATGAAATGCAGTGGGGTCACGGTAGTTTGAAGTCAGAAGTCAACTGCCGGTTAATAGACTTTTTTGCCGTATGAGTATACGTTGCCCAGGGTGCACCACGTGGAGGTAAGTCTATCGCACACCCCATATAATAAAAATAAATTGTGGAAAACAACTGAAATCAAATGAGGGTGAGTTTAACAAATGACAAGGGGAGGGGGACCTAAGCTATAATTAGATTAATGTTTAATTATCCGAGGATGTTATTTCATCGATCTCTGCAATTCGGTTGAGCTAAATACGGTGTTCATGATCAACATCTAGTGAGTAAGGTCTTCTACTCTGGTGTTTTAAACAGTATATGTCCAGCACATTGACCAAAATAGGAAGATTTTAGATTAACCGAGTGTGTTAATCTAGGGCGTCTTTTTAATTGGAAGGGGAAATAAAAGGACGGAAGGGATGTTGGAATGAGATTTATGCCACCTGACGGGAAGTATTCATTGCAGGATAATCTCAACAGCAGGCGCAGCGAGATTGCAAGACCTGCCTGTACAGCCCGTTTCACGCAGAGCGAAACACTGTGGTAGGAGAAAGAGACTGGCATTTCTAGTAGTTTGATTGACACACAAAGTGCGAAAACCCACTAAGAGCAAGTAGCCATTCAAACAGTTACAGTAGCAGTATTAGCAATAGCAGCACGCCTGCAATGACAGTAGGGGTCTGCCTCCTCAATCTTTGGTTCATCACTTACCCTCTGCTTTCCCCCACACCCCACACCCCCCACCCCCCACCTCCCCTCCTCTCTTCATCGTATCAATGGGAAAGCATGTGAAAACTCGCTGCCAGAGGTATGAATGCCCGCATGAGTGCAACCGTGTTTGACTTTTGACTAGTGCGCCCAATTTGGCGCGCGCGGGCGAACACACACACACAAAACCACAGAGAGATGCGCGTTAGGGCTAGGAAGGAGATCAAGATGTGTCTGACTGACGTGGGAGATTATTACTGCCAAATTAACAGGAAAGACAACACACGCACTTACTTATGTGTTAAGGCGGGGGGGGGGGGGGGGGGGGAGAAATAAGACGAGTGATTGGGAAGCAAAGACTTGCCTCTACGACAGATGGCAAGTCAGATAACTGCAATCAGTGTGAATGCCGTGTAAGGCTTCATAGAACTCTCAATAATTAATTAGCCCAAGATTTTCTTAATAGCAGGGGAATTATTGCGCTTTCTATTTCAGCAGCAAATTTCACTGTTTTTTGTGTAGTTTAACTACCTATATAATGTGTGGGTATTTTATTTATCTTTTTTGTAATTTAGTAGTTTAGTTCTTTTATAAGCCATCAAATATGCACTAAAGATTTATTTATATCAAAGTGAAAAAGTCTAGAGGGCGGGGGAAACAGAAGAGTTTTTCAAAGATGTAAAAGAGACAGACAAAATGGTAGAAAAAATGTGAGGTGAGTACTGTGGAAGAAGTCGAATATGCCAAACAGTGGGGTCATGGTAGTTTGAAGTCAGAAGTCAACTACCGGTTTATAGGCTTTTTTGCCGTATGAGTATACGTTGCCCAGGATGCACCACGTGGAGGTAAGTCTATCTATGTGCTAGAGATAAAAGAACTGGGTAACTATGTTTGGGTGAACCTTGAAAAGTGCCCCAACAAGCTCTAGAATCCTCTTGATGTCCTTATAATTAAGGTTCAAGTGGATTTGTTTTAGAAAAATTCTCATCAAGGTTACAGGATGGATTGATCTAAATAATATATTGATCGGGAGAATGGGATATTGACAATGCATAATCAAAGTCTAATTTGACCACAATAGCTTCACAAGAGGAGTATTTGGGATGTATTTCATTCATTTTAAGCTCAAATATAAAGATACAAGATTGGTAGTTGAATATATCGATTCCCAAGTGACAAGTTTTGCATTTTTCCTTATTTGCTTGATTCTGTGTATCACAAGAAAGATAAAACTTACCTAATATTAATAAAAAAACGGAAAATTTTCCTTCAAAGCTATCGTTAAATGGATGCTGTGAGTTGCAACTGGTGCTTCTATTGATGATAACTAATTTCATTGATAGCATTAGTAACACTGAGTGTAGGCTTCTCTTGATTTTCTTACTTAACATGCTACAATTTCATGTTTATTAACACATTTGGATAGATTGATTTGCCTACTTCAAAGGTGTTTACACAATTTACGCGGTGGAAGAACTGAAACTCATGCTATGTTGCACAGTCGTCCCGGTTTCAACTCATACAATAATACATTTCACCCAACTGCCCTACTCCTTGTTTTTTGGCGAACAGTGAAGAGTGAGAGCACAACTATAGGCCACTTTATTTCATTCTAAAAATGAATACCATCACTTCGCAAACCAATACTTATTTGTTTCTGTGATATCCCCTAACTTTCCCACCTTATTTTCTGCGTATCGAGGAAATTGGGCTGATTCCCTAATACTCCACTTCTAGACGTGTAGACAGTCAGACAGACTTAAGCTGCCTCTAACCTATCCTCACAGGGGAATTCTGTTGTCCTGTAGAGAGGCCACCCACATTTATGTCTTGATGTGCCATGACATACGGCCAATGAGTTTCAGAACCCTCACCATCAACTGCTTATATAGTCCAGTAAGTGAAAACAATTTTCAATGTAAAGGGAAGCAGGACTCCTCACTTAAACCTTGGATGCCCATTAGCGAATTCACACTACCTTAATAGCTTTTGATAATTCTATTGTGCAAGCTGTAATTATAGCGTAAGACTGCCGATGCACTAAGCGCAAAGAAGTATGAATTTCCTGGGGATAAGTTTTTTACCATCGAACGCTGTTCATTTTGTATAAGCCATGCTAAAGGATCGGACATTAATAATAACGAATAGCCTTGTTCTCTGGTAGGCTTTGTTTAAATCAGTCGTCTCTACATTTTCAATGCGATTACTAACAGCAGGTCACAATGATAAGTTGAGTTTGACATCGAAAGTGTAGGGGTATTTGATGGCTGAAATATAATGAGCACACAGATACAGTCATCCATTCAACTTCATCAGGAGTACAAGATTTAACCAAGGAGTGGTTAACACTTTGACTGCGATGTGCGCCATATATGGTACACAGTACACCGCAAGTCCGGCTCGAGTTAGAAGACGCCGCTTTCTAGTCCTTTCTAGGAGTCGCAGTGCTAAGGGGTTTGGAAAACGATGTCTAGTCGTAATGCATTTCGTCGATAAAGTCCTACTTTTGATTTTCGCAAGAATGCAATATAAAGTA